TTTTTCTCCCCCCCGCCCCCCCCCCCCCGGTTTTTATAAAGTGTTTTACATCTGTCACACAACTTTTTAAACTTTTTATTTCACTTTATTATGATTTTATTAATGTGATTTCTTAGTATACTTTGATTTAGTAGCACTTATATTTTGTTTGATCATTGCTGATTATTTTGTTTTTTAATGTAACTTTCCCAGTCTTGACCTTTCAAGACTGAGTAGGTTGACTGGTTATGGTATTGCCCCATGATCAAAGAGCTACTCTCCCCAATACCTAATTCCAAAAGTGACATGCCCCCCACCCCACCCTGTGCACAGAGCGCCCCTGCCCCCAATATGTCCTCCTTTGTCCTCCTTTTTGCCTTTCTATGTCCTCCTTTTCATACACATGTATCTGGCAACCCTACTCAAAGGCAGCCACATCCAGACTACTGCTGCTTCCAGAGGGCTTGGCCAAATCGGATCTTTCATTCTTCATTTCAAGTCACACAGATTTCAGGGAGAAATGAGGGAGAAATCATACAGTGGGAAGTGATCCCAATTATAGTGACCATAGAAGCTCAACCCCTTGCCAATGTAGGAATCCACAGGTAAATCATCTTTGACAGATGGCCACCCAACTCATTAAAATAACCTCAAAAATAAACAACTTCCACCTTCTGAAGTAATCTGTGTTGCATGGTCTAAGAAGTCTTACCATTGGGAAGTTCACCATCATGTTCAACCAAAATTTCCTTACTTATAATTTGAATCCACCCTGTGGAGCAGCGGAAAATAAGTTTGCTCCATTTTTCATGTATCAGCCCTTCCGATATTTGAAGATGGTGATCATACCATTTCTGACTATTCCCCCCCCTCCTTATTAGCTTAAACATAGTCAACTCCCTCAGAGTTTTTTATACAGTTTGGTATCCAGTCAATGAGAATGAATCTAATATTCCAGAACCCAGCAAAGAAGAACCGCCTTGGCCCCCATAACTTGCTTGGACCTTTGGGGAGTCAGAAGCCATCATCTGTGGGTGAAGAACGGGGCTCCTGCGCAGTCCACAAGAAAAAGCTGAAGAGAGAAGCCTGGCTGGAAGTCCCAGGACAAAATGCTTCACTACAGCAGAGGACTCCTCAAGAGAAAAAGCCTCCCCAGGAATAGTGGGCCTTTGTGGGAGGAGGGCTTTCCTCCAAGGGCCAAATATTGTAGACAGGTTCTTCCCCTTGCTGGCCAAAAATCATTACTGAGTGCTGGGTGGGACTCCAGCAGCCCAGTCTGAAAAAGCCCTCAGGTGGCACTGCAAGAGACTTAGGAGAATGTATATGCTAGATTCTGTACTTGTCTTCTGCCTGCTTGAACCCCTAGTTCAGATTTCTCCATAGTGCCTGGTTTCTGGAATGACTGGGCCACGTCTTTTGATCATGTGGTTTTATGCGAATGTTATTACTAGAGATGGAGGGGTTCGTATTTGTATACAAATACAAGGTCTGCTGGCACAGGTGGCCAGCATGATGAACACTTACTCCCAGACCCCACCGGACCACTTACCACACAGCGTGCGTAGCTGGCATCATCTTCTGCACACCAATCGTGGCAGTAGCTTGGCTGCCACAGCTCCGCCTCCCTGCTTGCCCAGCCACTTCATCTCTGAGCAGAGAAACTCATCCTCCTGCCTCCGTGATGGAGTGGCTGGGTGAGCAGGGAGCCAGGGCTGCAGCAGCCCAGCTACTGCTATGACTGGGGTGCAGAAGGTGACACTGGCGCAGTAAGTGGTCCAACATGTTCTGGGGGTGGGTGTTCATCAAGCCGGTCACCTGTGCCATCTCTGATTATTACTTTTTGCAAATTGCTCTGGTGCCATTAGATGAAGAGTGGTCTACAAATGTTTTAAATAAGCAAATAATTAAACTAGGATCACTGCATTCCAAATATGAGGTGCTGAAACTGCAGAGAGCAAAGCATGCCAACTAAAAATGACCTCTTACTGCAAGGATGCTGCTTTACTGAAAGTGACTGCATTGATATCAATTTCAAACAGATTTTAAGCTGTTATTTTCAGCTTTCAGACAAAAACCAAAAAGAAAATGCAAAGCAGTTTAATCACTTGTGGCTTTGATGTATTCTGCATGATTTTTTTTTCTGATGATAGGTAGATTCCCCAATGAGAGAAACCCAGGGGCAGTGATTAAGTTATCAACATATGTGGGCAAATGCAATCATGTTTATTATAAGTGTGAGACTAACTCTTGCTCTGATGCACACAACCCCCTCCCCCAAGCATGTTAGGGCTATTTCTATAATACCTCTATTGGATGATAGCTGGTGTGAGGTAATCTGGACTACTACATCGAAACTGAGCTGTTACAGCCATTTTAGAATGTAGCAGGTGCATAGAGAATGTCTATGGACTTTGCATTTATTTCACAAACTGTAATTTCATTCCTATTTCTCTGACATTTTCTGCTGAAGCCTAGAATTTTTCCAAATTCCTGAAAACCTCATATTCAGTTGGTTTACTAAAGAAATTTTAACTCACAGTCTAAAGGCAAATGAGGGAAATGAAGAAACCCAACAATCCAGAGGCTGAATTACCAATATAGTGGTGCTCTCCTTCTCTCTGCAGAACACTCAGGACTATACATTTGGCCATGATTTGGGGGACTAGCCATGCGAGACTGTGCAGCTTGCCCAAGGCTACACAGGCTGACTTTTCTGCACTCAAACTCCTGACTTCTGGCTCCACAAGCAAGATTCTCAATTTATTAAGCTACACTGCTGGTTCTGCCTATTATTTAAAACACTGAAGTCAAGATTTATTCATAGAAAGTAAGCTGGTTCGAAACACATCCAGAGCAGAATATAATTCACCACATCATTAAAAAAAATGAACCAGGACAATAATGAACTGCAGACGAGAAGGAAAATATCAAAATTTCACCAAAATGGTATGACTGATCAAGAGACATTAAAAACAGAGGAGTTACTCTTGAGATTTTACAGTGCATGGACAACACTTTATAGTTTGGGGAATGTGCCTCAAAGTTTGTTACAAGCTCAGTTGTTCTCACTTCACTCCAGGCTGACGTCAATCATGCTTGCTCTACAGGGACTCTTTATGACTCACCTGACACAATTGTGTATCCAATACCTCTGGGGCGTCCTTTGTCCTGGTCAATTGCAGTTATCATACGAACAGTTGTACCCTAAGGAACACAGAAGAGGGAAAACTGAGGGTTTGAGCATTCCATGAACCCCTGAATTTCCAGTGTAGAATTTGCATACTTTTTATCATGCCAGCTGAGCATGTCACATAACCAATTCACTTACATTTCATTTGACAATTCATTATGACTACCCTCACACATCCTGAAAATTCAGAATCTCTACAGATACACAAAATGAGCATGCCTAGCACTTCAAGATGGGGACAATCACACATATTTCAAAATTTATTTTGATTTAGTTGATTGTAGGTTATTTGTGATATGCACAAGGACCACAAAAGGCAAACTGTGGAACTTATATACAATAATAATAAAATCATTTTTGACTTGCCACACTCAGTGAGGCACCATGTTCTTCTGGAGAGACACAAGAGGAATTTCTCTGTCTCTGTCTCTGTCTCTGTCTCTCTGTCTATCTCTCTCTCTCTCTCTCTCTCTCTCTCTCTCTCTCTCTCTCTGTGTGTGTGTGTACACGGGTGTGTTTTAAGTGGGTAGATGTCTAGGAGTATACTGAAGAGAACACAAGAACCATTTTTCCCTGTCACTTATCATGAGCCTAGTAATCTTAAGTTGTAGTTAGGTCATGAAAGGGAACATGGTCCTTCATGCTTGAGTTCTGCCTTTGTCTTTGATTCACTTCTTCTGAGAGTGGAGAAAAAGAAATCTCAAACAGAGGTGAGGGAAGTAGGTACAAATTTAAAAGATAAATGTTATATAAGGTTTCTCCCCCCTCCCCAATTTTCAGGAAATCATTAGTCCATTGTATTTCATGATGCATCTCCTCCTCTACAAATCAGTAACAACTCAGCTTTAATAATGATATATTTTGTGGGATAAACATTTTCTACCAGTAACAATAATGTACAATCAGGTTGGAAATATTGCTTATTTTTATTACAAATTGCAGAATTCTGCAGACAACATGGCAATTGATCATGCCAGCTGGTGCATTCTGGGAGCTACATCTAAAAAAAGGGAAGTCTTAAAAGCTCTAAAACTGTCATTCCCAACCTGGGGCCCCCAGATGTTCTTGGACTACAACTTCCAGAAATCCTGGTCATCACAGGTAATGGTGAAAGCTTCTGGACGTTTTAGTCCAATAACATCTGGAGACTCAGGATTGGGAACCACTGCTCTAAAATAAAGAGGCTCATCCTCCCTTAAAAGTCACATTAAGAATGTCAACAAAACAATCTCAAAACAAGATCACCCCCCCCCATTTTTCCTTTCACCTCCAAATAACCTTAATTGAAAGGTTATGTTCCCTGGAAAATACAAAATATCTGTAAGTACAGCTGAGTCATCTCAATGCTTTGCAAAGAAACAAGATACTAACTAATTAATCAGACATGTAGACTCACAGTGAATATGATTCCAACCCACAGCGTCTGTTTTTTATATATTTTGTGGTATGCAGTCCACGTAGCTACCTTGATATGGTCTTCAGTTATGTGACAAAACTTATCAGAGGATCTGGTAATGAAATTGGATCTTCAAGTATCTGATTCACTGGCATAATCACATGGCTACTTCGAAGCCAATACAGAAAGTGTTTTAAGGAGCAAAATAAAGGGCTCAGCTACATACCTTACTATGTGCAAATCAGATTTTCCTCAGCTGCATCAAGTATAGCTCTAACCATATAACAGAAATATCATCTGTAACATTAAGGAAGCCCCTACCTCAGTGACAATGTTTCTGCACAAGATATTCCACATATATGGATCATAATTCGTGCCTTCTTTTCCCTGTAGTCCCCAAATCTTTCAATAAGAGCTACTCATTTTCTCTTGGGGTCATGGTTACTCAACAAAAGCCCATATTTACACGCATAATAATAATTAATGTAGTGTGAACACATTTATGTCTTTAGGCTGCTCTGCTTTCCTTTGTTTATTGAAACCCAGGGAAAATAGGCTCCATTTTGCCCTCAGAAAAAAAAGGGTCAACAGTGGCATTTAGAGTCTAATGAGACAGCAAGAACACAGCAGCCAAGGAACAATTGTAATTTATCAGTGGGGGGCCGAAGGTCAGACAGAGTCATTTTCACTTTTATCTCCTATCCAAATGTCTTATTAGCCTGACTTTTCTGTTTAACTGCTCTTAGGCAATGAGCTGTCTGTTGGTGCTTCGCATATATGTAATTAAACAAGGAATTTTCTCCCAGGTAAGCTCTGATACTGGACAAGAATTGAGCTGTGGATAAAACATGTTGAGACAATGCTAAGACAATAGATGAGCAGGATTAGCTGCCCTTAGTTGGAAGCATGAATGGCACACATGTAAATCACATTCTGCTCAGCATCCAAGTTTAGACCTAAGATCCCAACTAAAAAGGGCCCTGGCTGATAGGACTTAATTCTCAGGTACTTCTCCAGCACAAAAGGAGAAGTACACAGTCATTTGCTGGCTAAAAAGCACAGAAACAGCCAAGCTTCCCACACTAGGGCACAGACAGTATGACATAATACTGCTGAGAAGGGGGAAGAGCAGAAAACATATTGCACAGCAAATTAATTAATTAATTTTAATGTTTTAAAAAATATTTTAATATATGCTATTTTATACTGTCTCTTAAAATGTTTTTAATGTTTTTAAGTTTTGGTGTTGTACGCCGCCCAGAAGCCACTGGCAATGGTGCGGCTAAAAATATTGTAAATAAATAAATAAAATAAATAAACAACCAAACTTCCCACACTAGGGCATAAACAGTATGACATAATACTTCTGAGAAGGGGGAAGAGCAGAAAACATATTTTAATTCCCAGTATACCTCTGTGTGAATATGCACTTATCTGCTCTCTTCTATGCATCAAGACAATGAGGGAGATATCTCAAGCTCAGAGCTATTTTGAAGCCCTAGTCTGTAATACAGCAGATCTCCTTTAATTTAGATCTGTATTTGCTCAAACAACCCATGATCTTAACAAGAAGTTTCAAAAAACCCCAGCTCTACCACAAGAATGAATAAATTACATTTTGGGGAATATACCTGTGGTTTTAAAAGTATTCTTTTTTACTGTACACCCTAATGTAATTTTGACCTGTAAGCAAAGATAGCAAGAAAAGTAACTGAAACCTTGATTAATGACTCGTCCCACGTCTGACAGAAGAATGACTTATAAAAAATAAAATAAACATTTTTTTAAAATACACTTTTTCCTTGCACATTTTGGACAGCTTTCATCATTATTGATGAAATCTACAGTTGCAAATTTGGATCTCTCACTGGTGTGAGTGCAAAAAAAAAAAGAGTTAAATGTGTCATCTTTGACTCAAAATTCTTTGAGGCCATAGGATTATTTCCACTTGTGTTCCAGGCATTTCAGAAGACACTTTACAAATGTGTTCACATTAATCTGAAGACATTAACTGTAAATCCTTGGTAACTGACCTTTGAAATAAAATACTGTGGCTACGACCATGCCACTAACAGAAAAGAGAGTTTCTAAATCACCAGCATTGGTTATGTTTTCCAAGCCAGTAAATACAGCTACAGAGGCTACAGGTCACTGCTATCTAGCCCTCCCTCTTTAGTCTGGAAAGCATGTTTCTTCAAAATGTAAGAAAGCTGAGAACAGAGTAGAAGCCTTAAAAGTATCAAATCTAATATTTAGGACTTGCCATTCCTGCTCAGGGCATCTTAGGATTCTGGGAGAGACTGCTGGCTAAAACTCTGGAGGTGCACCACCAGTAATAGTAACAAACATGGGAGATGGAGGAACAGTCAAGGATACCTGGATAGCTTCTCACATATACGTATATAAAACATTTCCATTTCTTTGAGCTTTTTTTTTTAAAAAAATAAAGAACAACCAAAATCTAATTTTGAAAACACAATGACACCATGGCGTTGCATTTACAGCTACTGTAACTTCTCAGTTTAGTAATTGTTGTTGTTGTTGTTTAGTTGTGTCCAACTCTTCGTGACCCCATGGACCAGAGAACGCCAGGTCCATGTTATTATAACTATTATTAGTAAAAATAATAACATTCAAAACCCTCTCCTGAATTACACAGTGATATGTTCTGAATTGAAGAGGGAACTGAGTCTCTTAGCACATTGCTCTGTTATTTTGCAAGAGCAATTTAGGGTGCGGCTACATTGTAGAGCTGAATTAGAACATTTAGGCTGTGATTTGATTTACAGCCTGTATTGCATCCAAAATCACAATCAGGGGTCACACAGGAGCTGCAGATTAGAATAGCAATTCAGCCCACAGCCCCCCTTCTTCTATTCCTTCCTCTGGCCTCAACTCTGCCCATCCTCTCTTCCTTAGGTTCCACCTCTGTGATCCTTTTATGGTTTTGTATGAGAAAACTGAAGCCAGGAAAGTGAGGGGAGGTAGTGATGATCCCGTTCTTGACCAGTTCTGATGTGTGAATCATAGGGGTGGGGGAATCCCAAGAATGTGTGTGTGTGTGTGTGTGTGTATCACATTCCAAGGGGATTCAGCAGGCAAAAGTCCAACAAGCCAGTCCAATGTCAGAAGTCCAGAAGATACAAAACAGATGCCAAATTGCCAAAGCCAAAACACAAACCATAGTCAGAAGTCAGAGTCCAAAGCCAAGGGTCACGAGAGCAAGGTCCAAGATAAACAGGAGCATGGATGCAAGCCAGAGAATTGACTTGTTGCTTTCACAAGCTTCCAAGCCTCTGGGTACAGATTTTATAGCAGCAGCAGTCATTTAATTCCTAGAAAACATTCCATCCTGCTAAAACTCAGGGCCGGTCGACCTGATGGTCCTGTGGGAAGCATTCATGCAAGCCTCAGACCTTCCTGTCATGAGTCTCTGCCAAAGCTTATCCTTTACTCTAACTACTGGGAGAGGAGAATCTGGTGGTAATTCAGCTGTCTGTGATTCAAATTGTCCAGCATCTTCCTCAGCTGTAATTAACTCCTCAGATTCCAGATTTTCTTCGGCTGAACTCATGACAGTATGTATCCATGCATTTCTAATAATGCTTTAAAAAGGTT